TTTAATAACTACACATTATGCTTCAGACGTTTCACATTCAGCCAACGAATTATTTGATTTTTTACTGTAGAAAATGGCAACCGTATATTATTTTTTCCCTTGAATGGCAACAGCAGCTGCTTTCAGCTTTTTTTCCATTGATTCTTCAGCCCTTAGTGAAATGAGGTGTGCAAGCAAGAAAAAAAAAAAAAAAAAAATTGTCGGTATTTGGAGCCATATTTAAATTGGTTTCATACTCAGGCATAAACGGTCAACTTCTGTCTTCTGTCTTTTATGCCAATAGTGCCTGACCAATGAATCAATGAAACTAGGTCGTCTTGAGGCACATTTAAAGGTGAAACATATTGCTGATATTAATTCAGATTGGAATTATTTTCACACTTTAAGGAAAAATTTTGAAAAAAAGAGTAATATTAAAGTCTCTATTACTGCTCATAATGCAACTGTTAATCGTGCTTTTGAGGCTATTATCAAATTTCATTACTAATCACTTAATCTGGGAAAAAAAGCCGTACTATAGCGGAGAATTTAATCAAACCATCAATATCAGCATTTAAACTGTTCTAGAAAAGATGACAAGACGTTAAAGCTATGCTACTAAATAACAATACTGTTTGCAGAAGAAAGATGAAATGAGTGAAGATATTGAAAACAACTTGTTGAAAAGCTGAAAAACAAGAAATTTTCGGTGCAAATGGATGAACCAACTTTGAGAGACAGTGAGGCCGTACTTGTAACTTGTAAGATATCAAAAGGGGAATTTTACCGAAGAAATGTTCTTTGTAAATCATTAGAAAGCACCATTCCCTCGAAAGATATTTATAGTAAGCAAAAAAATTACTTAGATATAAAAAATATGCCAATAAAAAATATAATACATCTTGTACTGCAGATGTTGCTCCTAATATGATGGTTGAAATATAAAATAAAGCACGGAATAAGAGAAAGGGTTTCTTAAAATTGATAAAAGATGAGAATCTAGAAATGCTTCTTGTGCATTGTGTTATTCATAGAAAAAAACCTGGTAGCTAAAAACAGTTCGCCTGTTCTAAATGAAGTACTAAATTCAGTTATAAAGTGTTTTAATGCTATTAAAGCTAGGGCCAAATGTGAACATATTTTCAAGTTAGTTTATGAAGAACAAAATGAAGACTATATGAGACTTGTACTTCACACTAATGTTAGAAGGCTGTCGAAAGGGAACTGCTTGGAAAGATTTATGGAACTATTTGATACTCTTAGTTATTTTTTAAACGACAAACCTGAAATGAAAAATCCATCAACGGATGATAACAAGGCAATTGGGACTTATTTAGCCGATATCTTATTATATTGCGAGTTATTTAGCCGGAAAATTAAATATATCAAATAAACAACTTCAAAGAGCAAATAAAACTTATGTTGATGCAAAAGGAAGATATTTGGTTTCATTATCTTTGTTGAATTATGTATTTCAGGCATATACTATTTACCACAAAAATTTTGAAATGTTTCATTGGCTCCAAAAATGTGACGCGACTACCACTATACTTGTTATTGATACCGCTATATTTGATATTGGCGATCATTTGAAAATTTTATCCGCTGATTTAAAAGATTTTGTAACTTAAAACAAATTGATTTCCCAACTTGGATGATGCAGCCAATGTTAGTGCATTTTGGCTGATCTTTCAAATATGCAGTAAAAAGAAGAACTCGCAGAAATGCAAAATGATGAGTCAATTAAAACTTTATTTAATATAAAAGGAACGATGGCATAGCTTTGTGAGGAAATCAGAATCAGACATCCAAGTGCAACTTAATTTGCAAAAGAACTATTGTTACCATTTCCATCTTCATATTTTGCTGAATGCGGATTTAGTGCCATAAATGATTTGCTGCTAAAAAAAAAAAAAAAAAAAAAAAAAAAAAAAAAAAAAAAAAAAAAAAAATTGGTTGGATAATGAAACCGGGAGACTTGAGACTCAAGTTATCTAAATTGGAACCTGACATAAAATTTCTTTGTAGCAAGTATCAAGTGCAAAGAACTCGCTAAATTTAAATAATAAAAATTACTAATACTTAACATAATAGTAAAAAAAAAAAACTTCCACTAAAATGAGTTTGTTCTTGAATTTCTGTTCTCCATGTTTTAAAAGTTCCCTTATCGTGTTTGCTTAGAAAATTTCGTAGCCATTTCTTCCTAAAAGCTATCATTCAAGTTTCTTTTGTGAACATTTCAATTAATTTTTAAATATTAAAAATTATGTATATGCTAGGGGGAGCTTAAGAATTTTAGAGAGGATTAGGTGGGGCATGGCACAAAAAAGATTGGGAAACACTGCATTAGATGCAGCAGGACATTAAGATTTCTACATTTAGAGAAATATGCACAAGAAATAATAAACACAGAAATAAAAGGTGCATTTTGTGTTTCATAAAAGATATAAACGAGTTTTTTAGAGTCAAAAACTTAATAAGCTCATACATGTAATAAACAGTTACTTTGACCCACTTATAAAATTAATTTTCCCACATTTAGTATAAATTTGCATATTAAAATATGCTTTAAAATATTAAGAATTCTTATTATCTGTAAAAGTATTAATTTTCTACTTGCACATTTCTTACACTTATTAGAGATTAAACATTGCAATTTTTTCATCTGCTTCATTTTCAATGTTTTAATTGTAATACTGAGACATGATATCAGCATACAACATCCTTTTAATAAAATGCAAAACAAAGATTAGAAAATAGTCTGTTGTAGCTTGTTATTTGTGCAGCTTAGCTTAGTTAGAGGCAATCCCAAGCACCTGAAATCTTAAAAGATCAATTTAAATAGATTTACTGAACTTTAGATACTACTGTATCTTTAATCCAAAAGTAATACATTATCGAAATTTGACTGTAATAAAAATATTTCAAAAGAATGTAATTAAGACAAAGTTCATTAGATCTATTTGCATATGACAATGCATGATTTTGTGAAAGAATTTTTATAAAAATTGGTTTCTGTTTCATTACATTTGAAGGTACCCTCATAAAAATTAAACAGTTCATTACCAGAAGTAGATTTTGCATTGAATTAGCAGTGCTTCGTAGCTTCAGTCGATTACTAATAAGCCAGATTTTTAGTAATTTTCAATAATAAATCTGCCATCTTCAAAAAAGTAAAACAGCATTGTAAGAGACGATATGTTGCGATTCAAATACAGTCATGCTCTTACATCTATGAGCAAAATGTTCCCACATTTACTGTAGATAATGGCAAGTATTGTATAAAAGAGGTTATTGCTGTAATATGTATAATTACAGTTATGTTTAATTGATAAATTATATAAGCAAGACAGTGTCAGTATTAAATAATGTAATACTAAAATATTCTGTACAGAACAATGTATCAGTCCTTGTTATTAACTGACATGTAAAGTAATGTAAATGCATGCATTCTTCCATAGATGCTGTTGTGGTGTAACAGATTAGCGCACATAATTAACAAAGTGAAAGACCCATTGGTTCGAATCCAAGTGAGGATAATATTCATTTTTCATGTTAGTAAGCTCAGAGTTTGAGAAGTTTCCGGTAAGGTCAGAATAAAGATATGGTATAGTTCGACCGCCTCATCCGCGACCATGAGCTCAAACACACATGCGCCATTCGGACCGAATTATTCTCAAAATAGGGTGGAAGGATGGGGACTTTCTTTCCCTCCAGCATAGCTCTTTCCGGAGAAGAGAAGACCTTTCACGTCGCAGCAATTAATACCGTCCCTTTCGGACGAATCTATGTGTTTTGGCAGAATGTCAACCAGGATTGCACTTGAGACAGTCGAACTATACTACAGCGAACATTTATTGGTTGCATCAGCTTTAAACGATTGCACAGATACATAGCAAAACAATATTGAATGCATTTGAACTTATGTAATTTGTCTATAGTATGGATTGCTTTCATTTTGACTGTATTTTGCAACAGGTTATTTATGAAACTTTCAGAAATCTGTTCCCCCAGGTCACTCGAAACCATGGATATGGATCTACGAGTCCAAAAGAAAAATTCATAAAAGAAGGTAAATAAATATAAAATATTTTTTTATTAGCTTTGAATTCATTTTTCCAGAATAAATATTTTTACGTCACTTTAATGTGTAATTTATTTCAATGAAAAATAAGTAAGTAGTTTAAGGAAGAAAATTAAGCAAATTTTCTTTTTCCATTAGAAGAATTTTATGCTGTTTAAATTCTTAAAATTACTTTTTCATACATATAAATTAAAAGAAGCATTTTTTGTTTATTAAATTCATTTAATAAAATAGTACTGAATTAAAAAATATATTAATATTGTAATTTTTCATATTTTATTAGTTTCTTCCAGTTGTTTGCATTCTCATCAGTTACAAGTAATTTTTGGCAATGATAGAACAAAAACTATTTTCTGTAGGTAGAAAGCAAGTTGATTACATACATTTAGACATTTCACAAACATTTTACATTTTCGAATTTTATATAAACATTGCATATTTCATTGCTTACTTTTAAAAATAAGATCACTAGCAATAATGGAATTACATTTTTTACCATATGAGTTCTTTTTGTAGTTAGATAAAATGGTCAGCATGTTTTCATCCCATGTGAGCAGGATCTCTCCTGATCCTAGTTAATTTAAAGTGACATTTGCTAATATTATGACCTTTTATACTAGAATTTAAACTTTATCTACCATACCAAAATGTACTATAATGCATTAGATTTTAGCATATATAAATTCAAAAGAAGTACAGTAATTACTTATTACAATAAATTAAATAACAATAATAATTTAATCTTGTATACTTGTTAAGAAATTTCTTCTTTCCATGTGTTTTAATTTACATACATTTAGCTCGAAGACGACAAAAAAAAAAAAAAAAAAAAAAAAAAAAAAAGACACATGCATTTTAAACAATGAATTCTAATATAATAATTTTTAATCATAAATAATTATAATAATAATAATTATTATATATATATATAGAGAGAGTACTCTTCTGTTATTGGGATTGGGTTCAGAAATCCATGTATGTATGAACATGTGTTTATATATGCATGTATATAAGTATGGATGCATATATGTGTCTGTATACATGCATACATATATGCACATACATTCGTACATTTCTGAATCTAGTCCTGTTAACAGAATAGTAGGAAAATATATAACAATTACTTATCAAAAAATTATTATAAATTATAATTATTATATTAAAATTCATTGTAAACTATAATATAATAAAAATTATACAATAAATAATTAAACAATATTATACAATAATAGTTTATTTATTGCACTTTATCATCAAATTATGTACATACAGCAAAATTAAGTTGGAAAACATTCAATTTTTTCCAATATGTAAAAAAAATATAAATAAAAAAATAAATACACAAAATTAAGCACAATGTATCAAACAGATGATGAAAACTACCAATGATGATCAGCATACTATCTTAGATTACTTAACAGTTGCCGACTTAAGCTTTTGAACACAGTTGAAAATAAAAAAATAACGAAAAACATCCCTACTGCATGATCCATATCCACCCACCGTATTTTATGAGTAAATCTGCTTAATGGGTGTATACATGTTTATCCTCATGGTCGTGGTGGTTGCAACTAAACTAAATCTGTGTTCTACTGCATGCTTGGAACTTTCTGATACTTCATAACCCCAATAAAACCCACAACAAAGTACTGATCCAGCATATTATTGCCAAAAAATATTTATATGGCCACCCACGGCCAAAAATTATTTATGCGATACCCTTGATATGCATGTAGCACTTCCCAGACAGGTTTCTGCTTCTCTGGAATTTTTTCCCACTCTGACTGCAGATTATAATCCCTCCTATGAGACTTTAGTGTTTTAGCATAGCATTGAACTGCAAACTGCAGTTTTGGTTATCTTCCTCAAAATTTCAGACTTAGCTTTCTGCAAGATACAACATAATATGCCTCACTTAAAAAAATACTCAACATTTTAGTACTTTTCTGTTATCATGACTGGATTCAGAAATGTACGTTACATATGTATGTATGGGTGTGTATACACTCATACATACATTTATACTAAAATCTTTACACTAACAAAATTTTAGAATTCTTCAATTAAATGCGTCAATTTTTATCTATTTCGATCTTAAGACCATATGTTAAAGAATTTATAAAAAAACATTTATGGTTAGAATTAAAAAATACGATTTATTAAATAAAATAAACTGATTAGAATACAGCAATCTTACTGCAGTGAATGCCATAAAATATTTTTATTCTGGCAAGCGCTACTGCCACCATGCTGTTTTAGATTTCAAATTACTATTAATTTGTATAGTTTTCATAGAAATTGAGAAACTTCTTAGGTATTTTACATTATAAATGTCAGTATGTATTACTGGTCTAACTTCTAAGTATTACTAGCACACTTAATATTGATAATAGACTGCTTCAAATTATTTTTTGCTGCACATGATTATTGTATTATTTAATGTATTGTGTTATATGTTTACTTAAATAAAAAATATATTTATATTGAATCAACTATTAAATAAATGCAAATCTGTTTAATAGTTAATTAATTCACTATTCTGATACAAGCATTATTAAAAAAAATGGAAATTTTTATAACATTCTACTTTTAAAATGTCTAGGTTAGTAATTTTGAAAAAGTGGCTACATTGCAGGTAAAGAAAGCCCAGTTATTTCTATAACGGTTCTGTTTTACAAAAATCTTTCAGGCCTAATTCTAAGGTTTATACAAAATACTAAATCTGGCTAGTTTCTATTCAACACCATAGTTATACCGAAATTTAATTTGCCATAGGAACCATAGTGGAAAAATTTCTAGGTTTCAGTTTCCCATAATGCTTGAAAAATCAAACATGAAATGCAAGTTTAAACCAAGACATTCTTCTGCCACACGTCTTCATGCTTATAAAGTGCATCCTTCCAAGTTAAAAATTAAATTTCTTTTACCATTGAATAGGGGTGGGTGGAGGAAATATTTTAAATAAATATCTAATATACATCAATTTCTTACCTAGAATGGGAAGACATTGCCTAAATGATTCATTTTCCCGAATGTCTTCTTATATACTTTGCACAAATGAGGCTGCTCTACTTGATTCGTCCAAATACCTGTACGTCTAATATTCAACTGAAAATAACTGAAACATCATTTCTCTTTTCCCATACAATATGAGCAACTCCATACTGGTTTTGTGAATGTTACATGCTCATTTGATACTGCAGCTACATAATCAGTCTTCAGTATTTGTTGACCATGAATGGAAATACACAATACGTTATTTTATAACGGGCATGAGAAAAACATTTCAGTTACTAATGGCAGAACTATGATCAGTATTTGCATTAAATTCAGAAACAAGTTTAACACAAAGCACATGCAAATTACTGCACACATACAAGATGAAATATTTAATCATGCTTTAGAATTTCAGTGTTAGAAGTATTTCAAAGTAACAACATGCATATGATTCGCATATTGCATTTTAGTAGGTGACAGACACAAACATTGAACACATATGAGAAGAAAAAAGAACACTGACTATTATGCAAGAATTTCTTGAAAACCCAGGCACGAGAAAGGAAAAACCTTTTTTGCTCAAGTAGCTCTGGTTTTCCTTGAAATAATACAAGATGGAGATTTTACCGGCGGCTTTGACAGCACAGTCTGAAACTGCTTTTTAAACTTAGATCACTGTGTACATAACTGATATGCTCATATATGGATATTCACTTAATACAAGATACAACTAAATTGGAAGTTTAGGTACTCTTCTGTTATCAGGATCGGATTCAGAAATGTATGTAGGCATGTATACTTGTACGAATGTCTGTATACATACACATACATACGTGAACAGTTCCATGCATACATACATTTCTGAAACCGGTCCTGGTAACAGAAGTGTACCAAAGTTCACTTTGAAAGAAGGTTAAAAAAAAGAAAAATTCTATTAGCAAAGTTATGATGCTATAAAACAATTTGGAATTGGGGAGGTGGAAGAAATGTAAAATCCATAGTCTGATTCTGAATAAGAGAAATAGTCTAAATCTTTTAAATCAGCTTCTGAGGTTTTTTTTTTTCCCCTCTTGTAGAATAGAGAATTAGTTTATTTATTTATTTAATAGCCGGTTACAAACCAGACAATGATCAGCAGTAGGCTTGATGCAATCCAGCACAATTCAGCCAATGAATGCTTCTCTAAACTCTAAGCATTTTGCTACTTCTAAATTCTGCCATATGGTGCAACTAAACCATATGACCATTGACCTCACAGATATGTACTGCCTGAGATCATGCTTTAGTATTAATTTTATACACAAGTGTTCTTTACTAGGTGAATATGCATATGCTTGTTCAAACTAGCTTTATGACTATATGACTTTTGACATACTTTACACACATTAGGTTTCTCTCCTGTGTGAATATGCATATGCTCATTTAAATTAGACTTACGACTAAATGATTTTTTACATATTTCACACATATAAGGATTCTCTTCTCTATGGAAAACCATATGCTTGTTTAAGCTGCTTTTACGACTAAATGGCCATTTACATATTTCGCACACATAGGGTTTCTCTCCTGTGTGAATACGCATATGCTCTTCCAAAGCCCGATTTTGAATAAATGGCTTTTTACATACTTCACACACATAAAGTTTCTCTTCTGTGTGAATACGCATATGCTCGTTTAAACTACTTTTCTGACGATATGATTTTTTACATATTTCACATTCATGAAATTTCTCTCCTGTATGAATAAGCATATGTCGGTTTAAAACACTTTTTCGACTAAATAACATCTTGCATACTTCGCACATACAAGGTTTCTCTCCTGTGTGAATACGCATATGCTCTTTTAAACTATTTTTCTGATTATATGATTTTTTACATATTTCGCATACATGAGGCTTCTCTCCTGTGTGAATACGCATATGCTGGTTTAAAATACTTTTTCGACTAAATAACTTGTTACATAATTCGCACATATGAATTTTCTCTTTGGTATGAATAAGCACATGCTTGCTTAAACTCGTTTTTAGACTAAATGACTTCTTACATACTTCACACTCATGGGGTTTCTCTCCAGTGTGAATAAACATATGCCGTTTTAAACTACTTTTCTGAGTAAATGACTTTTTACATATATCACATACATGAGATTTCTCTCCTGTGTGAATAAGCATATGCTGGTTTAAAGTAGTTTTTAGACTAAATAACGTCTTACATAATTCACACACATGAGGTTTCTCTCCAGTATGAATGAGCATGTGCCCGTTTAGACTACTTTTTCGACTAAATGATTTCTTGCATACTTCACACTCATGAGGTTTCTCTCCTGTGTGAATAAGGATATGCCTGTTTAAACCATTTTTTTGACTAAATGACTTCTTGCATACTTCACATTGATGAGGTTTCTCTCCTGTGTGAATAATCATATGCTGTCTTAAGCTACTTTTTTGATTAAATGACTTGTACATGCTTCGCATACATAACATTTCTCTCCTTTATCAGTATGCATATGCTCTTTTAAAACATATATATATTTTTTGTTTTTGGTTTCAAACGATTTGTAACATACTTCCTAGAACATGAAACTTCTGCTCTTTACAGATAATTATGGGCTCACAAGCTTGATATTATATAACTTAGTACACATCTAACAATGGATGCAAAACGAAATGTTTAACAGAAATTTTACCAAAAATAATTCTTGCACCGATCACACAAATGCAAAAAAAGACGTGACAATTTTTATATTTTGATTTTTCCATTGTTGCTAGCCAATATTTTTAATAGTTTGAAGAAATTTCTAATTCTTTCCATCTTACACTTCTCATTCCAAGTTCTCTCGTTCCTGTAAATATCGTAATCAGTAAAAAAAAAAAGGCCTTTGCATTAATTTGCAACAAAAATCTGCTCACGCAATTGTTCAAAATGCAAGTTCTACTCACGTAAGCTTTGCGTAAGAACACGCTTTAAAATTTTCGGGACAAACTAACTAGAAAGACGTATCGTTTTGCACTTATTAAGTCTTTTTGCCCAGAAGGTGTATAACAGGCTAATAAAAAGTTTCCACGGGAGAAATTTTGGTGTAGCGACAGGGTGCCTGAGACCCTATCCCTCTTCGAAAATTATAAGCAATTTTCGAAAGATAAAAAGTAAAATAACTGAAGATATTAGCAGTAAGATAAATTATACAAAACAATAAGTACATATTTACAACACTAATTAATATATATATATATATATATTTTTAAATAAAACGTTGACCACACACAGATCGTATTTTATTCTCGAGTGTGAAGATGTAGGAACATGTTTTCATTCGGCTTCTAGTATGTGATAGTATTTGTTTATAAAGTATAATTTTAAGTTTTAATATTTTGGCAACATTGATATAAAATTGTAAAAAAGAATGAGTTAAAAATGTAATAGAAAGTTTTTTTTTTTTTTTTTTGTTGTTGTTATGGGTTGGTAGAATGAGGTAAGATTTCTCATGACTGATTTTCTTTAATAAAGTTTTTTTTTCTATATATTGCCATAATGTGTTTTTGTTAGAAGTGGATGATTCTTTTGAGAATGTTTTTTATATGCCAATCTTAAAACCAACATTTGGTAGCTGAGCGTGTTTCTACATTTTGACACTCGAGCACGGAGTATAAAGCACGGATCCGTGCACTCGAGAATAAAATACGATCTGTGTGTGGTTGCCTTCCTCTGTTAATAAAAAAACTTAGTGAATCTACAAAGCTCTTAAAAAAAATTTTTTGAACACGAATAAAAGTAAAGTAGAAAAGTTTTAAAGATTCGTACTTCAAACTTCTATTCATGAGATGGCGCCACGTGTAAAATCCAGTTCTTAATCGGAGCAGCAAAGCGACATCTTTACTCACTCAGACTTCTCGTCACACAACTGTACGCGACGGTAGCATGAACTGTGTTCCGAGCTCTGTGTTGATCTCTGCAATGTAATTTAAATTGTAATTTAGTACTTAATATATTCTTTTGTTATAGGAGATTGTCTACTCTTATTTTCTTTAATTATATCATGCATTAAGCACACACGACCACCAAAAGTGGTGACCTTTTGACTGAGCACGCTACTGACAAATGGATTTTCAACGACCCTAAGCCACGTGCATCCAAGGCATTCTGAAGAACTGACTAAAAATAACAACGAATATGGACATTAAACGTATGCTACAACGTACCCCTTCAATTATTTCTAGAAGTATTGATATATATTGCTTGTGTTTTTTTTCAAAGTCGTGCATATCATCGCAAGGAGCTTCAGCAAATCATCAATGTGATCTGTTCCGTTCCGCTGACTTCGCCAGTCGTGCAATAATTCTTCGATCATTCAACTTTTGTGACAAATGTGATACAATAGTGATTTTCGCTAAATGTGCTACATCAGTAATTTTTCTGCAACGTGCTACGGCAAAATTCTTCCCTCAGTGTTCGAAAGTAGTGAATTTTTTTCCCATGTGCTACAGGAGTGATTTCCTTTTTCCTTCGAAAGTGCCTTAGCAGTGTGAAGTGGTGATTTTGTGTGTGCGCAATACAAAATGAACGCATCATTTTTTTTTTCTCAAATAGGGGTTTCTTTTCAAATGCATTTCGGTAAAATATTATTTGTGTGTGTATCGTTACGTAAATTTTTTCTGCATGGTTAAAATATTTATTGTTATCATGGTAAAATATCAATAGTGTATCCTCATGCTACAATATTTGTGCTGTTAAGTGTTTATTAATTAAAGTGAAAATTATCTATCAGTATGCCCGACGATATTCCACCAGAGCCACAAATCACACGCGTTGCGGTGAAGCCACCGCCTTTCTGGAAAAATAATCCTTCATTGTGGTTCGCTCAGATCGAAGCACAATTTTCTATCGCTCGCATTAGTGAGGATTCTACAAAATTCAACCATGTAGTTGCAGCAATTGAGTCTGATATTCTGAATTCAGTGCATGACTTAATTCTCAAACCACCTGATTGTGATAAATACTCCAAACTGAAACAGCGGCTCATTGAAATCTATTCAGAAAGTGAATCTTCAAAAATACGTACTTTACTACAAGGACTTGAACTTGGAGATCAGCGACCTTCATACTTGCTGTCACGAATGCGTGATCTGGCAGGAAGCCATTTTAGTGACGACTTGTTGAAGTCACTATGGCTTTCGCGTCTCCCTAATAACATACAAATAATTCTTGCTGCTTCCAATGAAGATCTAACCCGTTTAGCAGCAATGGCTGACAAAATTAATGAACTTGTTACTCCAGCTTATGTCAGTGCTGCTAATGCTGCACCTTCCAGTTCATCCCTCGAACAACAAGTGGCTGAATTGACCAAAAAAGTATCTGAACTCTCTACAAGTCTTCATGCTTCACGGAGATACAATCGATCAAATCAGGGCCCACGTAATAAATTTCGTGCCCGAAGCAGGAGTCAATCTCGTCACAATAATACTCGAACGCAGTACAAAGAACCCACAAGTGGCATATGTTTTTATCATATGAATTTTGGCTCTCAAGCTCGCAAGTGTGCCCCTCCATGCACTTTTGTAACAAGCGGGAAACTAAATGGGCGGTCTTCTGCTGGCCAACAGAATGTCCGCCACATCGACAGAATAGTACTGGCTGATCGTTCAACTCAGTTATGTTTTCTAGTAGATACTGGAGCTGACATATCAGTGCTCCCGAGAACTAAAACAAATGCTCACCAACTTAATAAACTTGTACTGTATGCAGCCAATGGTACCCAAATTGCAACCTACGGCACCAAACTATTGACACTTGATTTAAACTTGCGCCGGACTTTCAACTGGCCTTTTATTATTGCGGATGTAACTCAAGCAATTATTGGTGTCGACTTCTTGACACATTTCCACCTTCTAGTGGATGTCAAGAATAATTGCTTAATTGATGCTACAACTCAGCTGACATCACAGGGCCAAGCTTCTCACATATCAAACGTACCTACCAACATAAGTGTTTTATCGGGCAGCACACGGTTTCATCGGTTATTAGCAGAATTCCCTGACATTTTAAACCCATCCAAATCAGGGCAGCATACTCATCAGCCAGAAGTGTATCATCACATTGAAACACATGGCCCACCTGTATTTTCCAAGCCTCGTCGTCTTTCTCCAGAGATGCTAAAAGCTGCTCGCAAAGAATTTGAATTCATGCTAGCACAGGGAACCATTCGCCCATCTAAAAGTCCATGGGCCAGTCCACTTCACATGGTTAAAAAGTCTAATGGTGACTGGCGGCCTTGTGGAGATTATCGTCGACTTAATGCCGTCACAGTCCCTGACAGATATCCAGTCCCACATATCCAAGACTGTACCCATCTTTTTCATGGAACAAACATATTTTCTACCCTCGATCTTGCCAGAGCATATCATCAGATCCCAGTGCATGCTGAAGATGTGCCCAAGACCGCAGTGACTACACCATTTGGTCTCTTTGAGTACTTATATATGCCATTTGGCCTTCGCAATGCTGGCCAAACATTTCAGCGTTTCATACACCAAGTACTGTCTGGCCTCGATTTCTGCATCCCATATTTTGATGATATCCTGGTTGCATCTACAGATGCGGAAGAACATTTTCAACATCTGCGTCAGATTTTCACTCGCCTTAAAGATCATGGATTAAAACTAAATCCATCCAAATGTGTACTTGGTCAACCCTCAGTTTCCTTTCTTGGATGTCTTATCACCCAGAATGGAGTCAAACCTTTACCGGAAAGAGTCAAAGCAATTAACGACCTACCTCAGCCCAAAACCATCTCTGAACTGAAGCGTTTTCTAGCAATGTTAAATTTCTACCTACCGACGCTTTCTGCCAAATGCCGCAAAAACACAAGCCTGCCTACATGAGTTTCTGAAGAATAGCAAAAAAAAAAAAAAAACGATCAACGAGCTGTCCCTTGGACTGAATCTGCATCTGCAGCATTCGTGCAATGCAAACACGATCTGGCAAATGCAGCCACACTTTCTTATCACTCACCTAGTGATCAGCTCTCTATAATGGTAGATGCATCTGACACGGCCATAGGAGCAGTGCTTCAAGCCCATACCACTAAAGGACTTTCCCCAATGGCATTCTTCTCCAGAAAACTTACTACTGCAGAAAGGAAATACAGCACATATGACAGAGAGCTACTTGCTGTGTACTGTGCTGTTAAATACTTCCGGCACAACTTGGAAGGACACGACTTCATCATTTTCACCGATCATCGACCATTAACCTTCGCTTTTAGAAAAAACTCTGACTCATGTTCTCCTCGTCAGCTTCGACATCTGGATGGATTTCATCGCCCAGTTTAGTACAGATATCAGATATGTCTCTGGTACTGATAATTGTGTCGCTGATGCCTTGTCTCGGGTAAACAATATCAACCTCACTACCCCAGATTTCTCTGAAATTGCAAAAGCTCAATTGCATGATGAGGAACTCAAGAACCTAATCTCAAATCCACAAACCTCCCTTCAGTTACAACCGCTGCACATTGATCCAACGCTTAAAATTTACTGTGACATAGAGAACAATAGAATACGTCCCTATATTCCTGTCAATTTTAGACGTGAAGTGTTTAATGCCTTGCACAATTTGGCACATCCTGGAATCCGTGCCACCAAAAAGCTGATCGCAGACAGATTTGTCTGGCCAGCAATGAATCAAGACATCACAGAATGGACTCGTTCATGTATTAGATGTCAACGGTGTAAAGTATCCCGTCACACTCACAGCCCCATTCAACAATTTAACCTTCCAGCAAGACGCTTTGATCATGTGCACTTAGACTTGGTTGGCCCATTGCCTCCTTCAAATGGTTACACTTACCTCCTCACTTGTATTGATCGGTACACAAGATGGCCTGAAGCCATTCCTATTGAAAATATATCCGCTGAAACTGTAGCTCGAGCATTCATCTCCCAGTGGCTTTCAAGATTTGGCATGCCTACCACCACCATCACTACTGACCAAGGCCGACAATTTCAATGTCACTTGTTCGCATCCCTCACCTCTCTTCTTGGCATTCGCCATATTCGCACAACACCATACCATCCATCTGGAAATGGGATGGTGGAACGCTTTCACCGATCTCTCAAACAAGGTCTGAAGTGCCACAGTAGCACACACTGGACAGAAGCCTTACCCCTAGTCTTGCTTGGTCTTCGCACAGCATTCAAAGAAGACATTGGTAGCACTTGTGCTGAAATGTTATATGGTGCAACCCTCCGTCTGCCAGGTGAATTCTTTCACCCAGAATCTACTCCAGTTATCGACCCT